AGCACTTACATTCGACACAACGTCTATCTCGCGGGTCACGTCGTGGTGTGGGAGTTGCCCTGTTTCCGTCTTCCTGCTTCTCGTCACGGTATATTCCCTTCCGCTGTCGCATATGTTGCATCACTATTCTGCATTGTCTCGTCTACTGTTCCCTCTCTAGTTCATCCGATTTTCTTCAGCGCCTTAGCCGCCTTTTGCCAGGACTCAGAGGTTCTTTTACCGCTGGCTGTCAGAGCGACTATAACGTAATCAGGTAAATTGCCTTTGAATACTCTTAACGAGTCTTCTGGTGTTAGACGTTCATCCTGACTCAATTCCAAAGAAAATTCGGCAAAGTACCGTACCGGGGTATCCTTCCACCGTATGCTTACTAGCCTGATCCTCAACTCTTTCAGTAGAGCACATACGAGTGTAAGTATTTCTTCTAAGACCTCCCCCCAGTTATCTGAATCTACTGCAGAGGCCCATGGATGTTACCAATAATATCTTTCGTAGATATATGGGAGCACCTATGCCTCAGCGTGCAGTGATTACAGCAAGCCCGCCCAATAACGTCTTTATGAGGGGAGACAAAATCAAATGCAAGAGAACTAGGGTTATAAAATTCCCGGAACAACGGGCTGTGACTACCTATGCACCGTACCCTATGGCACCCCTACTGGGTTCAGGCTCTGTGTTCTACAAACAGCCTATCTATATTACACGGGCTCAAACACTCAAATAATTGCCTTTAAAAAGGATCCCAGTCGAGTAATATCGAAAAGGAAATCCAGGAATAGCAGTTCTCCCTCGTGACTCTGCAGCCAGTCAGAGTCCCCCAACCGCTGCATCTGTAGTGCGCTAGCACTACAAGTAGCTGCAATCAATAACGATAGGTAATTATAGGGAGTAAGGAGCGAGGACGAGCTAAGTACGCCGGAAACTATCAAAGAGAGTTAATTGAGTCTAACTTAAATAGTAGATTCGGCACATAAGGATCGTAGCCGATATCAGACAGGAACAGAGGCCGACACAGTGCGGGCGGGTCGGCCGCGCCCAGAGGATGGCGCCCCGCGACGCCTGCAGAGGCCAGGGGCGCGTCCGGAAGGGGGCGACTCAGTTCTTTGATCACGAAAAACATTGAAATACGTTGGACCCGAACCGAGTTTGGACTTAACGTTTCCGGACAACGCACATTCTCTGTGTTGAGTAGCCGAACCTGCTTGGGGTTAAGAGTAGTTGACCGCCGAGGTCATTACAGCATCACTCACAGGCAGCCTGGTGGACCGCCGAGCATTCTTGACATTGTTATCTTAAATTTCTACCTACAGTACTTCCACGTATCTCTACTAGTATTGTATTTGTCATCTTCGATCTAAAAAGGTCTCTGCTGTTTCCACTTCAGCTCCATTGCAGTGCCTCTGCACAGCACGCGGTTTCCGTCGGGGACGACACGAGCCCTCATAAACGGCGATAAACACGAGGCACACAACAATTCTACATAGAAATTTTATTGTATTACATTATTTTAATATTAATTATATTTAGTTTCAAGCTTTGCTTGCATTTTCGGCACTATTGTTCCGTACTGCTCCATCCGCAGTGCACGAGACTTGAGGACCAGCCGAGGAACTCCGACTTCTCTGCTTCACTTTCCTGAACTCCTTAATTTGTGCATATTTATTTCTGTTCCTTTTTGAAAGAAAACAGATATTGGACTTCTCTCTCTTCTTTCACAACCATGGCTTCTTTCTGCAAGACGGCAGCAGCAGTGTGCCTCGTCGCACTCGGTGTGCTCCAATCAGCGGCACAGCAGGACACTAACGAGGGAGGGGGGGGTTCTACAGCGTATAAATTTAAGGTAGTGGATGTAGATGAAGGTGAGCATGTTTTCCGCTCCATTTCACCCTTCATGCTTTTCTCCTTCGCGTTTGACGCCAAGCTATCAAGTACTCTGCTGCGGCGGGCCCCTAGTTGCCTCATTGCTGTATTCCCTCTTGCCACTTTGTTCCTGTTTCTCCGCCGCAGACGCCTACTTGTCCGCCAACTTGGCCCGGAATGGAAAGCTCCCAGTTCACATCAGTGAGGTCACAAAGGACGAAAGCCTCGTCACTGAGTTGACGGCAAAAGTAGCACCCGAAGAACAGCAAACTGCGCAGAACTGCACTGCATTGATAACCACCGAACTGGTGAGCAAAACAACCAACTGACCAGTGAATTTGAGCGGTTGCTACCGGCACTCGTGCTGCGGCAACAGCCGCTCTAAACCACACTTTACAGCCTGACGCAAACTGTGCAGTCATTCAGCTGCCGGATACGAGAATCTGTCCTGTCTTTCTACGTATCGTTTTGGCGTATAGAAGGAGCGCTTCCATTACTCTTTTGAGCACGAATCCGAGTCGGAGGCCAGTTTCGACTACCGTCAATTGCTGCAGGGAGCTCTTGAAGCGGGACTGAAAGTCTTCAAGTGAGTCAATGCCGCATTCACTATCACTACAGACAAATATCATATCTATTCCTTGTATAGCAAAATGCGACGCCATTGAAATCAAACTTACAGGTAGGCAGCTGCGTCGCCTTCTCTGCAACCCATTTCTCACTATGCACCTGTGCTGTGCTTTGCTGACATTTTTTCAAAAGCAAAACATACCCCAAGACCGAAGAGGCGTGGCAAAATATCTGGGCGGATGATGCGGGAGCCAGTCTAGCATATCTTCTCGGGTCTAACAGCACTACAATAGGGTGCGTTATTGGAAGGTGTACTAAAGTAGTAACTTCAGCTAGCCCGAATTTACTTGAAGGGGGAGGCGGAGGTGAAGAAACACCGACAGAAACTTTAACAAAGGATGCTGTACTTTTCTGTCAACTCAAACCTGCAGCGGAGAAGGATTCGGCCCCCTTTGAGTAAGTTTTGGGCTTCGGCAGATGCCTTCAATGAGGGGAATTTCGGAGGGTGTAGGGTTTAGGGCTTAGGACTGGAGATGCTCTCTCTGATTATGCGTTCCTATGTTT